CCAATAAAGATGGAGATTCTCCTTGGCTCTCTTCTTGTCATTAATATATTTGTAAAAACATCTTTTGTTGTCTTTAACGACAGCGGCCAGACTGCGTTCTTGCTGGGCTTTTGCCTTTCTCATTTCTTCTCTGCATGACCTAACGAGATCCCTGTACTCTTCTTGAGTCACCTGCCCCTTCTTCCACAAGTGGTAAATTCTCCTTTTTTTCCTGACTCCCAGCAAAAGCTCCCTTAGAAATTACTATCCTCTTGACTCTTGATATGGGACACAGAACTGATAGATTTTGCCATCTTCATTAAAAACCTTGTGTAGACCAAATGGTATTTGTTGTTCTAAATTATGATTGTTCTAGAGTTTTCAGGGCAGTGTCTGCAAGCTAAGCTTGAAGGTTGCAAATTAATTCCTTTTCTACAGCCGTATTGAGCACTTGAAATCCCAGAATGACTTGCTGACAATAACACTGGAAGAGTGCAAAAGCAATGCCGAGAGGATGAGCATGCTTGTTGGGAAGTACGAGTCCAATGCCACAGCCCTCAGGCTTGCATTGCAGTACAGGTATGTACCTATGCAGAGGGTGTCTCAGCCAGAAAAAGGGGAGGCGGGGGAGACTTGAGAATGAAATTGTTGGTGTGCCATAGTAGTACTGTTTCTTTTTGTTTCCTCCCTGAAAAAATGCCCCTTTGGTTGAACGACTTAAAACTCTTAAACTACAGAACTGAAGTTATTGATACAAGTGTATTTCAACTCTAGTTCACCAGCAGTAGTGAACTTGATCTAATAGAAATATACAGATCTATCTTTTAATTTTTAAATACTGAATTAACATTTTAATTAGGGGTTGTGTGTAGGCTCGAACTGCCTCTGCTGTATCCAGCCTTAAGATACAGATTCTCTGTATTAGGCTGGCACCTTCCACAGGACCAGTGGACCAAAGAGTAGTATTGTACTTCATGTAATTCAGAGTGTCTTTATGTTACATCAGTTGGAATTGTGGATGAATTGCTTGGTATTTGGTTACAAGTATCTAAATTTGCTTGAAACTGTATGTGAAAAGATGGTGTCACTTAACTTCAACTGCAGCTAATTTGGAGCAGGCAGTTCTGGTCTTCAGACAAATTGTGTGCCTTTTGAAGAATGTATTCTGTTACTATCAGCCTTGAGCAAATTACAAGGGAATGTGAATTGCAAATAGGTATATTAATGTGTATATTTTCAAAAACATTAGAGTGCAACAGGAATGAGTGACTCACAACTGTATTTAGAAGCTGTTTGGTTGTAAGGAGGAAAATCTTAGCCAGGACAGAGCAACAAGTGTTCTTTTCTTTTCTTTTCTTCTTACTCTACTTTGTATAGTATAGTTACATAGCAGAATATAGAATACTGTATTTTGTATAGTAAGAAGGCCTGAAAAAAGTTCTCAAAGGGATCATGTCAACCACCATTCCTATTGTTGACTGTTTCAAACACGCTTCTGGAGCTCACTTCACGTCAGGTCATTCTCTTCTGTTTTAACTTGAGGCCAACCTGGGACCATCATAAGGAAGGGGAGACTGTTGAATGCTTGTGATAGAAGCTGTGTGTTATGTCATTTAATATCCCTGCTGCTAGACAAAGAGTAGGGAATCATGCAGTTCCTCAGCTACCTTTTTTTTTTGTTGTTGTTGCTGTTGCAGGTATTCTTCCCCTCTAAATTGCAGATATATTTTGTGTGATTTTTGTTTTCTGTGGTTTGTTTTCTCTTTCAGTGAACAGTGCATAGAAGCATATGAGCTGCTGTTGGCATTGGCAGAAAGTGAGCAGAGTCTCATTCTTGGTCAGTTCAGAGCTGCAGGTGTTGGTTCTGTTGGTAAGATGTCAATGAATCACTTTATTTAAATTTTTTTTTTGCATGTCAGTTAACATTAGAGTTAGTTGTAATGGTGAATCATCTCATGACCCATCACTTAAGAATGCTCTCCAGTCTTTTCTTGTTTTTAACTAATTAAATCATTTTACACACCCAAAAAATAGGGGGAAAGAAAAAGAAAGACTGGAATTAAATCATAAAATTCACCAGCAATTTAAATTAACCTATGTATTACTATCACAAGGGGATGCCTATTCTGGCAGTGGTGAGGCTGCTATAGGCACGCAACTGTACGGAGTGGAATTGTTAAACAATACTCATGAGCATATGTGGCTTAGGGCCATACAGCTGTGGTAATTGCAAGTACAGATTTCGTTTGAACCAGCAACATTGACCCCCATAGAAGTTGAGTATAGTCTATGAAAAACTGGGATTAAGACAATACAAAGGTAGCATTGAGTAGTTACCAAAAAAAACCCCAAAAATGGCTCTAATTTTTCACCCCACATTTTACCTTTGCTCTGAAATTTTAAAATATTCTATCTTACATTTTTACTGTGTTGTTGGGGATATTAGCCTATATGTTCTGGGGTTTTCTTATTTTGTGGATAGTTAATCTTGTGGTTAGGTGGTGTTTTTTAAAAATGCTGCTCGCTAAGTAATGGAATGAGACACTATCACAGGCACAGTTCAGAAGTTTTTGGAGCTTGATGTTGCTGCTGGCTCCACTTTGCTGATAGAAAGAGGTGTTTACACAGTGAACGTTAATCTGGGTTTTATAGCCCCATTCCTTTTACTGATAGGAGAAGGTAGCTGTAGTAATCTTCCAGTAGAAAGAAGGAAAACCTTCAGAGAGAGAAGAATAGCTCTTTGTGCTGTGTTGAGGCGCGGTAACTGCCTAATTGAGATAGTAGTACAGTGCTAGCTTCTCAGGCATCACTGAAATGTAAACGGAAGGCTTTTAGAGACAGGGTGACCATCTGGCTTTAGAGCCAGAGGACTGGCATGGTCAGCTTCTTGTTTCAGATGACTAGATGCACTCAGCCCACAGCCACTGTGCTGCTAACCATGCCCCTTATTTTGTATCTCTTCCAGTGCTAGAAGCAGGCCCTTGTGTACCTGTCTTGGCCTGTGCAGGGTGTGCCATACACTAAACATTAGAGTGGATGTCTGAGATTTTCATCCGCCTTTCTTCCAGACTCTGGTCATTCCTTTCCACGGTGTGCTAGGGAGCTTTCCCTGCTGGCAGAGATCAGTGGCCAGCAAAAGTGAACTTAGTCTTGGACTTTCTGTTCACGTAGATGGCAGAAAGAAGTCTTAGAAGGGAGAAATACTTTGGGATTGAGTAGGGTTTCATCTCACATGCATTTTATGAAAGAGAGTGTGGTTTAGTTTTTATACAGGTGTCTGTCTACAGCTCTTAATTATGGTATTATCAGTTACAGCCCTGTGATAGAAATAGTGCCAATTTACCATTACATAACACAGCTTGGAGGAAGTTGTGTTTGGTTTATGTGCCTTTACTTCACCGTGAAATTTGATTAAAACACCTAGATAAAATAGCAGGTTTTTGGTTTGAAGATCAGTCAAGTTTTATATCAACATCTGTGAGTGGAAAATTCATGGGAGTTGCTTCTGCATCACGTAGAGCTGAGCATATCCAGCTGCTCTTAACAGAACATTCTCCCTTTCTTCCACATTAATTATTTCTAGTGCATGCACTGCACTTAGCAAGTGTGAGGTATGGGTAATTGGTCTTTGACTCGAATAAGGATGAAATGAAAATCTGACATAGAGCAAACTGGAGTTTTTTTAATGCTCTCTGACATCTTTGCATTGTATTTGGTAAAGTATGAATATATTGTAGCTTTGTGTGTAGCCGCTAATGTGTCTCACTTTAATGACTTTACTCCACCTGGAGTTAGAGGACTATAAGAATCACGACAGTGGTGGTTTCTGTCCTGCCTCTGCTGAAGGGATGGCTTACCAGCTGCATAGATGTTGCATAACCACTAGAAATTACAGCAAATTAATAAACACCAGTGCTAGTTTTCTTTTGATTTAGTATGCATGACTGTAAACTCTGAAAGGCTGCTTCTAAGCAGTAAGGCAATTCTTGCAGCTGGAAAGGTAACCTGTAGGAAGGTGTTCTGGCAAACCATTAGGCTTGAGATAAAGATGCTTGTGAGAAAAAGCACTGGAAATGACCACACTGTGAAACAGGACTGGACTGATTGGGGTAAGAGTTGTAATTTAGGCTGAGGCTTTTGCAGTATTTTATTAATTTGAGCATCCTAACCTAACCCTAATGCACTTAGGATGCCCTTACAAACAGACAAGCTAGCTAAGATAAAACATCACTTAGGACATGTACCTGAAGCAACAAATACCTGGAGCTTGTGGCTGGGAGGGAGATGCATTGAGGCCAGTAGCCCAGTTACCACTGATGCTCACACAGAAGTGAAGTTGCTTTTACACCACAGACTGATAATTTATTGTCATTGTCTTGGTATAAACTGAGAGCGCGTAGAAGCATCTCTACTCTTGCCTTCATTTCTATCACCCTCCTCAAAGCTCTGAAACAGATTGTTTGCTTGAAAATTAGGGGACCAGACAGGTGATGAAAACATCACCCAGATGCTTAAGAGAGCTCATGACTGCAGGAAGACAGCTGAGAACGCAGCAAAAGCCTTGCTGATGAAACTAGATGGGAGCTGCGGGGGAGCCTATGCAATCACTGGCTGTAGCGTGCAACCTTGGGAAAGCCTGTCATCCAACAGCCACACAAGGTAACTGCAACTCATCTGCTCTTCTAATCCCCAAGTGTTCGATTTCAGACCAAAAGTTATGTTGTACTGTATTTACTGAACTAAGTGCAAAGGTCCTGCACATGGGTCAGGGCAATCCCAAGCACAAATACAGGCTGGGCGGAGAATGGATTGAGAGCAGCCCTGAGGAGAAGGACCTGGCCTGGGGGTATTAGTTGATGGGAGACTCAACATGAGCCAGCAATGTGTGCTTGCAGCCCAGAAAGCCAATCGTACCCTGGGCTGCATAAAAAGAAGCGTGGCCAGCAGGTCGATGGAGGTGATTCTCCACCTCTACTCCGCTCTCGTAAGACCCCACCTCGAGTACTGCATCCAGCTCTGGGGCCCCCAACATAAGAAGGACATGGACCTGTTGGAGCGAGTCCAGTGGAGGGCGACGAAGATGATCAAAGGGCTGGAACACCTCTCCTATGAAGACAGGCTGAGAGAGTTGGGGTTGTTCAGCCTGGAGAAGAGAAGTCTCCAGGGAGACCTTATTGCTGCCTTTCAATACTTATAAGGGCTTATAAGAAAGATGGAGAGAGACATTTTACCAGGGCCTGTAGTGATAGGACAGGCGGGCAACGGTTTTAAATTGAAAGAGGGTAAGTTTAGATTGGACATAAGGAAGACATTTTTTACGATGAGGGTGGTGAGGTGCTGGAACAGGTTGCCCAGAGAAGTTATGGGTGTCCCATCCCTGGACATGTTCAAGGCCAGGTTGGATAGGGCTTTGAGTAACCTGATCTAGTGAAGGATGTCCCTGCCCATGGCAGGGGGGTTGGAACTACATGATCTTTGAGGTCCCTTCCAACCGAAACCATTCTGTAATTCTATGAACTACCTCACTCACCTCAGTCCACTGGCTTCTTTGCTTTGATTTATAAGTCACCATGCCTCAGTGGTCTAATTGTCTTTAGACTTTGAGCAACACCAGCCAAGAAGGGTTTTGTATAAATTTGTTGCAAATGGGTGACTCTGAACTTTGATCTTCCTCATAAAGGGCAAAACCATTATGTTTGTTTTACATCAGTGACTTTCTTGCTGTTTTACTGGAACTCAAATCATGTACTTCTTATTCATATCTATTGTATGCAGACAGGACAGACGTATGGAGAACCTGAGATCAGAAGTATGCTTCCATCAGTGTTTCGGAGTGCTCAAGAATTGTTTTCTAAATGTTGCAAATCCAGCCATTTTGTTTTAAACCATTTCCTCTCCCTTCTCATTCCCCTTTGCCCCCTTCCGAATTCTTCTTTCCCATGCTATTCTTTTGCATGTGGAGAGGCAAATGAACACGATGACAAAGTGGATTCTTCCAGGAAAGGCTGGATATTGCAGTTTTTCTGAAGACCTATAAAATAATGAAACTTAAATGAGCTATTATTGCAGAAGTGTTCCAATTCAAATACATCTGCTAGCAACTTCATTTTGAGTCACTGCCTGCTTGCAGTGTAATTGTACTCTGTGCAGTGAATATGTGTGCTTGTGTATGGATACGAATTTGGCAAGCATGCTGGATAAATATAGATGAATATTTTTCTTTTTAAAAGTTATTTTGGTTTCTCAGATTCACTCTAAAACTTCATTTTAATTCAGTTTTTGAGCCAGTTCTTTATTCAAATGCTGTCATTTTTTGACACTTTTAGAAGTTTATTTTAGTACTATATCATTCCCTCTTCATGCTGATGCGTCCTTCAAAGGATCTTATTTCCTGCCATGTGACTAGCATGGAATAGCTAAAAAGTGAGCAAAAAGGTAACCTGAGGGAACAGGGTCCAAATGTGAGGTAAATTTTAACGTTTTGTTCAAAGACTTTTTACATTGCACTTTCGGTCCAAGAAAGCTGTATCTTTATTCAGAAATTAATGTGGCAGCATCTGCCCTAGTAACACATTGATCACTCATTGTACCAAAAGTATTTACTGGCCTTGGAAAGAAGTTATACAAAGCTGTTTCAGATACTTGACTTGCCTCAGTCTGCATGCGCTTACGCCATATCTACACCTGCATGTGAGCACGTTGTAAGTGGCCACACATAGCAACGCCTCTACCTAGGCTGAGCTTGTTTTCCAGTCTATTATTTGAAAGGGTCTTTTTCAGTTGTTTCTAACTACCTCAGTGTTTTTCTTCCTTGTGAGATACCTGGTATGTAGTCAAGGCGTATTTTTTTTTTCTTGAAAACAACTTAGATAGTTTCCAGTATTGATGGGGGGGAAATTGGCAGGGGGGTGGGAGGTGTTCCTGGTTTAGTGTTTGTTCTCCTAGCCTTTCACTGATAGTGTTTGGTAGGAATATAGTCGCTACAGTCCTTGCTGCTTTGAACATCATTTTTGCTTTTTTGAGGGGGAGGATAAGGGAGGGAGGTGTGTGTGTTTGGGGAGGAAAATAATCTCTCATGCTCATTGTTTACCGTGAACTTTTGGTGGTCAGCTGGCAATGTGTGTATGTGTGCACATAACGTGTTGACTAAGTAGATAAAGTTTCAGTGGAGTATGGTTAAAATGGCATAGGATTTCAAATTTCGTCAGTATAAACTGTGTCATGAAATGTAAAAGTGCAAATGTAAATGCTTCTGTGTGCAAGAGAGATGTTTTAGCTTGAGTCATTATCATTGTAGGATAATTTTTTCTGGCGTGGAGCAAGATATTGTACTGAATAAGGTAACCATTATTATCTGCTTTGATATATGTGGAACATGAGAGAGAAAAGCTTCTCCAGCTCACCCAAAAGGCACACAGCAAGTCAGGAACTTGTCATATGGGCATCCTGATCTGATCATCACTTATACATTGTCATCCCTCTCTCCCCCCCCACGCCCAATGTAATTTGTCTTTGTGTAAACATACGTGTCAGTGAAACTATTTCCAAAACTTTAACTTCTCCATGAAATACAAATCTTCTCTTCTTTCCTTCTGTTTTGTTCAAGTGATATGTGGTAGAGGTGTTTTCAGATTTCTCCTTCCTATGGACCCTGTCTCAAAATAGAGGCATCCCCTCTTCAGCTTACAGACACATGATGCTGTGCCAGCCCGTAGATGGAAAATCTGTATTGGTTCAAAAGGCACACACTTTTGTATATTTATATCGGTAGATGTTCTATCTCAGGTTTAAAAAATTGAAGATCTTGTCTTTAACTTTTCCTCTCCCTATCATTCTGGATCCTTTTTGTTTCTCTCCAGGGACCCTATTCCTCATCTTTGGAGTTATCCTGCCTATACTGTCAGCTCTCTCAACCCGTTCATGCATGCTCCCTTGTCACTTGGCCCCCTGCTGCTCTAGACAGAAGTCCCATTGCCGCAGACCTCCAGCCCTCTATGATTCTTTGATGTTGATGTTTTCCGTTTCCTTTCCTTTTCCATTACAATAGCAATCCAAGCAGAGATAGGAAAGCAGACTGCAGATTTCTAGCTGTTCCTGCAGGCTTAATGTTTTTGATTTGTCTTAAAGAACTTGGCAGCCTGTAAAACTGGGGAGTAGAACAAGCCCACATCACTAGTGAGTGCTGTGTGAACCACCATTTGGGGACCACTGCACTGAAATGAAAACATTTTACATTATGTGGTTCAAACATACCCCAAATCTGCAAGACTTTTGCCATAGCTGTTTTAGTGTTGCAGGCTTTTAGTTGCAGATATGTATTGCTACCTTTTCCCTTTGAAACCAACTGAGTAAAGAGGTAGTGGGATGATGAAAACTCTCCTTTGCTGAGACTTGTGACAAATGAGTAGTTCTCCCTGCTGTTCGAAATCCTGTTGAATAGGGACTTATAATGGAATTGTTGACCCATCTTTAGCTTTGGCATTTCAAATGAGATTCTGAATGTCAAATCGCTGACCACATTACTGAGAATAAATGCTTGGTGAGCCACTAGTGACAAGTGGTTAAAGACTGTAAGAGGGAGCAACTGAAATGAAAAGAAATGAAATGCAATGAAGGGAGCATCACAGATGTTATTACTGGTGAAGTGAATAAAAATAATAGCAAGCATCTCAACTCATTTGGCTGACAGCAGCACAATAATGTTGCCAATTAATTTTTTTAAAATAGAAATGTCTGCAGTGTAGTTGGAAGTCATAATTATTCTAATGGACAGAAGCTAACTATAGAACATATATTGCCAACACGGTTTGACTGATTGCACCTTAAAAAGAAGGAAACAAAAGAGAAGGACTCCATTTGTAACACTGACAGAAAATGGTGGATTTTATTCCCTGCAGTGCTAGTATGCCCAACCTTACACCTGAATTCATGGGGGAAGGATCTGGTCTCTTACATGCAAAGGGAATCACTTGCAGTATTACGCAGTGTCACAAAATATCTGAACTCAGCCAAATGTAGGACTATATTTCTCATCAGAATCACCTCAGATTTCAGATAAGTAGCTGACAGACAAGATTATCTAGACTGAAGTGTGCAAATAAGTTATTCAGAAATATCCCAACAGATACCTTAATGTTATCTATGTAACACTTCATTGCTGGACTGAACTAGTCTCAGAAGGAAGCAGGGTAGTTACACCAAAGATTCTGATTTTAGCCAGTGTTTGTCTTTTGGCTGGTTGGAGTGTTTTTCAGTTTCTCAGGACGTTACTATCTTTTGGTATTGTGCTGTTTCAGATCTCAAGCCACAACGTTCACCTAGAAGATGGTTGGCCCGGGTATACTGTGTATCAAATGCATGCTTTAAAGTGTAAGGTTGCATGCAGACATTGAAGCAAATTTTGTGGATTCAGTTCTGACAGCGTTATTTTAGTTCTATAAACTTTTGTATTATCTGCACCGCTGCTGAATTGCGGATTTATGTATTGACCTGATTTTTAACACATGAACTGAAGCTTATACAGGGTTTTATGGACAACATTTTGTAGCGTACAGACGTTACTCACACAGAGGCACTGTTGGAAGCCTCATTTATATCCTTCCACTGCATTTGACACACACACATGTGCATGCGAACACACACATGCATGCCAGCAAGTAAAACTGCACATTATACTATACCAACCTGTGTATTTTCCACCAGCTGTATATGAAAATTAATTTGACATCATCCAGGCATTGCATCATTGTAAAAGACTTGAGGGATGAAGCGAGTGGGAAGAACACTTCTCTTTGCTTCTTCTGAATACAACAGCAATTACAATGAGCAGATTGATGCTGTATTCCCTCCAGGTGTGATGAAATTGTGATCCTTTCTCTATCTTTACCTACATGCTTGAGAAATGAGAAACTGCACATCTTTTGCAACAGTTTCGTGTGGTTTTTGGATGGATGCATTATACTACGTATGCATTCTGTCGGTCTGTTTTCCTTTGTCCTGATTGCTGTTAGAAGGGAGAGCAATATCTGAAATTCAGGATCATATGCTCACCAGCTGTAGGCCCTTAAATAGAGCAGCAACGGACTAGCATTATGGCTGCGGAGAGCTTTATGGTGGGGCTTTTGGGGGAACGCACCCTGGCAGAGCTGTGCTGTGGAATTCAGAAACACTGCAGCGTTGTTTCTGTCCCTCATCATGCAGCCTCATTTTTGCAACAGTCCAAAGTGGGCTTTGTACCCTGGCTTTCTGCAGCCCATACTGCTTCCAGTCTTCTGAGTCGGGGCTTGCTGCTAAATGTGGGGGAGAGGGAAGGTTCTTGTCCCTTTGTGTGCTGGCTGAGACAGCTTCCTTGCTAAGCTGCCCTCACCTTCTTACAAAAAAAAAAGGGGGGGGGGGGGGGGGGGGAAACACAAAAAAGAGGGGGTGGAAACCAAGAAGAAGAGCAGCTTGCTAGCAATTCACCGGAGGAGCCAACTCAGCTGCAGACAGACAGGCAGGCAGGCAGGCAGCCAGGACTGAAGTAAAAGCAGCCTGAGTATCACTGGCAACAACCCAGACTGTCCTCCTCAGTTTGGACTGCTCTCCCCTAAAATATACGTGCATAGCCGTGGATCTTTAAGGGCCAAAATCTGTGGACATCCAGTGAGTACAAGGTCCAACACAACATAACAATAGACTTTAGCATTTTTGCTCAGGTTTCATTCCCAGCAGGAGAGCTAGGTTTTCTTTCCTTTGCAAGCGAAAACTGCGATGAGCTCTTTGTGTCCCAAGATTTGAAGCCTGTGTAGGCTTTAAAAGCTGTCCTTCCTCCAACAACAGCTGTTTTACATTTAATCCAGAAAAGCTGTGCATTTGCTGTCTTTGGGTGTTGAGGAAAACTTGCAACATGACTTCAGTACAGAATTAAGTATTTCTCACATTGCCTATCTCCATGATTTTTGTATCAATATCTACTTCAGAGAGGTATCTTTAGACTCAGTAAAGCAAGATTTATTAAGTGTTTCGAGGTTCTGTAATGAAGAACTAAGTATGAACAAAAATTTGTTTCAGCCCGAGAGGGTTTCTGTGTAGTGTAGGTACAGAGTGTTTTTAGCTTCACTGCAGATGGAAATGAATGAAAACAAAAGCAAAGACCAGTTTACACTTGTGGTAAATATGGCACCTATTATCCCTAAGAAAAAGAAGGAATAATGGGAAATTGACAGAGAACTATAGTAAAGGACTGTAATGCGATATTTCATGAGAAGGAAGGATTTTAAGAAATCTTTGTAGACCTGCCAATTCTCCATCTCCTCCAAGGCTGTGCTTGGAATTTGTGGGAAGATTGGCAATTATTTGAGGCACTTAAAAATCAATGTAGCTTTAGCTGAAGTAGAACCAAAAGAAATGAGAAAGATCAAGCCTATCTTGATAGGCTTCCCCTTTTTCATATTAGGACATCATCCTGACTCTCACAGCATGTGGCGGGTGGGGCTTTTTTTCTTCCTACAAAAATGTTGAACAGCACTGCAATTTGATACAGAAAGTGATTTATTCCCCTGCTGATAACTGAGATCATCTAGCATTCCAGACAAGCACAGTTAATGGATGACTTATCCCTCACCCGGCAGCTGATTACAGGACCTCAGGAGACAGCAGGCAGCTTTGAGTGAGGTTATAGAAACAACACGGCATTTTGTTTTCCTTTTAGTGTTATTGCAACTATATTCAGCCCTGGAATGCTACGGCTGTATCGGTCTCGGCCCCCTGCAGCACTGGCATGCGTGTAGGTGGGTAGGCAGCATGGAGCCACCCTTGCTCTAAGACATTAGTTCTCCCTTTCTGCGATCTCTGTGTAAACATTTGTGGGGCAGACTAAGGGGCAGTCATTTGTTTGATGCCTGTAGATAGAAGTTCCGTCAAGTCTGATGATGACTTCTTATTAAAAATCCTGCTAACTTATGGGTTGGTTTTAAACCCCTCCAGCCCTGGAGGAATGTCAGTGTACTGAGGAATACACCTTAACATGGATTGAAAGATGCTGCATCCTGGCATCTGCCAGTGGAATTTTGCTCAGGTTGATTCCTAGAAGTAACCATTAAAAATACCTGAGATGATAACTGGTATTGCCATAAGCAGAGATAAATGAGGTCTAGGCTGATTCTTTTTTCTTAGCAGATGCTTCTTCCCAAAGAAGATGAAGACTCAGTGGCTGAGCAGCAGAGAGAAGCTTGCCCTGCTCTAGGGTATTGCTAAGAAATCTTAAGTAGCTTTTTTTTGTTGTTAAATGAAAAAAGTCTTGTTTCAGAAGACACCATTCCAGAAAAAGTAATTCAGTTAATGTCACTAAATATCTGGCTTTGCAGAGGAGTTGTCACATGATTCTATTTTCTCATGCAGCTTAGAGAATTAATTTTTTTTCTGAATTTGTCACACCCCTCTGCATCTTATGAACATTGCAACGTCCAGTCCACGCTACGTGTGTCCTTTCTATGAACTTTTAAGTAAGACTCAGATGTGTTGATGAAGTATTGGGAGAGTGTTTGATGTAAAAATGTAGATTTTGTTCCAAATGTTTTTTTAATACTGTTCTTTCTCTTTCCAGTACTACCAGCTCAACTGCAAGCAGTTGTGATACGGAATTTACAAAGGAGGATGAGCAGCGGCTGAAGGATTATATCCAGCAGTTGAAAAATGACAGGGCAGCAGTGAAACTGACAATGCTGGAGCTGGAAAGCATCCACATTGATCCCCTTAGTTATGACGTTAAACCTCGTGGAGACAGCCAGAGGCTAGATCTGGAAAATGCGGTCTTGATGCAGGAACTTATGGCAATGAAGGTATTTTATTTATATCTAACAGGCTATCTGCACTGCCGACAATGTCCCTGTGCTCCAAAACATGCTCAGTCACACACATGGGAGGCTTTGATAGTGATCACTGGGTAATAAAGGGTATCTTTGTTGAAACAAATAATCAGGGCTGAAAATCCAGTAGTCAGAAAGTGACAGAAGGTGGTGCATTAACAGTGACGAGCAATGTGTGTTTTGAATTAGACGAGGACTTCATCCGTGGCTCTACACTTGGAATGCTCTCCTTTACAAACCAGATGGTCTCTCTAAGAGAGATGGCAGCTGAGTTGCTTGAGGGTGACCAAAAGCATGATACAGCACTTCCCAAGAGTCAGTTCACTACTTTACTTACAAGCTTGCAAATTTGCATCTTGAATATTTGTGGACTGAAGCAGAACAAATTTACCTCCTTTTAATATTGCCGTGGGAGGAGGAATGGTCCGTCAGAAGCTATCATCCCTAATGCTCTCCAGCGGTCGGTCACAAGTCCAGAGCTGTTCTAGGCACTGTGTTGCAATCTGCAGCTCAGTTCAGAGCCCGAGCAAAGAGCGCGGTGTGTAATGACTTGCAGTAACAGAGGTTTTCGGAGAAAACTCTGGTCCCTCGGGACTGGTTTATAAGTCCAGTTCTAAAGATGTGATCTGGAAAAACTGACCTTTATTGACCAGGTATAGAGCTTATATAATTTTAAATCTGGCTTCTGTATTGACTTTGAGAGAGGTGAACGTATTAAAGGCAGTACAAGTGCGTGTCTGCATTTAGAAATTGTCCGGTTTTCCTTCAGTTTAAATAAATCTACTTTCTGCATGTTAGCAAGTCCTATTTTAGTCAACTAATGGGAGATACGTCAGATGATGGTATCAGGTGGGACAGCAAATCCTGATAGTTTCGTAAGCTGCTAAAGCTACAGATTGTTGTTCAGGTGTACTACTGCTGGCTAACTGGTAGCTTAGTAATGATAATTATGTTCTTAGTGGTGCTGCCTTTCCATAATGACAAATACAATTTTGCAGTAACGCATTCAATATTTGCAGTTCAGAAAAAAAGATTGCCTGCTTACCAATCAGAAGATTTAAAGCTATGTTAGTTGTTTGAATATATTGTGGCCAACAGCAATGGATTCCCCATAATAAAAGCATGCAAGATATACTGGAAGACATTTGTGGATAATCACATATATATTTCAGATATCGCACTTCCTTCTTCTCTTTTGCATCCAGATCTTCCCTGAAATTTCTTGTACACCATTTTTACCTCTATCTTTAAGTTGATTGGTAAAGGCAAACTGCAGAGCTATCCCTTGTGATTAGTGCCCTTGCATTCCCTGACCTGGCAGGAACACCAACAGTTGCATATCATAATTTCTGGCACAGTTTCGAGTGCTGGTAATCCTTTTGTTCACTAAACGATCATCTAACTTGTTTTTGACATATGGTGTCCACTCATAACTTTTGGCTGGACCTAGCACATTGGGTTTTCACTGCAGAAATTGTCCCTAGAAGAAGAAGAAATCTTTCTTCTTGGTTGGTTTGTATGCAGTGCATACTGGAATAGACACACATTTTACATAGGTGGCTGAAGTCACCTTCAGTCCTTTCTGGCACAGAGAAACTGACAGTACTGTTGTTCATTATAATTTGTTATACTTTGTCGGAATTTACAACTGCAGGAAATCCCTAGGTTTCTGAAAGGGATATGGTGAAAATCAAGTTTGTCAAAGCTTGGAATGGATTTGTTGGTAAGTGCTCTGCTGCAAGAGAAACTGAAAATTCCTGCCTTTCTTCTATGCATAAAGCATTACAAAGGGCATAGCTACACTCTGCGTGCTTTGGTCCCAAGAGAATGTGCTACCATATTAGCATCCATGGTTGTTGCTCAGGTCTGCATTACACCTTGCTCATATGTTCAGCAAGCTATAACATAGCTGAACCTAAGGGCAGGACTCATGGATGTCTTGACTTTCTGAGTATATTTTTTGTATCTATTATTTGGAACATGTACCTCATACAAAATAGCATATGCATCTGCCTTCTTTTGAGACAACTGGACAATTTAAATTTCCTTATGGTATTTTATTTAACTTGAAGCAGATGGAACTCATCTGTGCTGCAGAGGACTTCATCACGTGGCAGCTGTTAATTTGTTCCCTCCTTTCCACATTCTTAGCAAGGATGATACAGCTTGATGGAGCTACTCAAGGATTTCCTGCATTGCTGGGTCTTACTAACAGCTGCTGTCTTCCCGAAACTTGTATCTGTGTTGGAGTCTCTGCTGCAGCTTTTGGCACCTTTCATTTATGACTCCCAGTAAAAACTGATAACCACATCAGTCATATTGCTTCTTGCATCTGTGTGTTACGCTGATAATGTTCTGAAAATGCCTTTACACCATTAGTTCATTGTTGATGAAAATGATCTATAAAAAGATGGTTTGGGGATGGTTTCTCTGTTGCCCCGTTTATTTTTTTTTACTGATTCAGAGTGTAAGATGTAGTGGTCCGCTAGTTCTTCCATAAAATCCAATTCTTTGTTTCAAGCAATAATTAACTGTGTTTTGAAATATATTCTCATCTGTGGTTTGTCATCATTCAGCGGTCTTGCTTTGAGGTCAGTTGTCATGCCCCAGTTAGCAAGGAGATTACTTCTGATGGGTGTAAATAATTCTTGGTTTACAGCCTTTCTGCATTTCAAAGGACTTAATCTAGATAAGAAGTCTCAGCTTTCTACACTGATAATTTTTCTTCTTTTGTATACAGGTGGTGATAATAATGTTCATAATGTGCTTTGAGACTACAGTCTCTTGTGGAAAATGTTAAGAATCCTGTTGTCCACCTTTGTTACAGCATTTCATGTTCTTATAGATGTATACAGTAAAATGCAGTTAACTAGAGCATGGCATTTATCTGCTCTGATACTTATTTTACTTCTGAAGGCTGATATATTCCACCTTGGGTACTGTGATCCTCCTGGAGTCCCTTTTCATGACTTTTAGAACTTTTTGCCACATAAGAGTCCTTGCTGTTTTATTCTACTGATGTGACTACATCCAATGCAAACTCTGATTTTGAGGATGCTGTAGTGTTTCTGATTATATTGTGTCAGGAGTGTTTGATTTTCATTCAAGTTTTCACCCAAATTCAGAATTACAATACGACTGCAGGTACAAAATATTTCTCAATATTCAATTAATTAGTCCTGAAATGACTGCTAGATTTGGTGCTTGAAGCTTGTGAATTTGCCTGGGTTGTGTAAGTCTTCTGCATCAACTGGAAGAGTGACCACTTGCTACCTCCTCCTTCAGGGTTTCATTTTGTAAATGCCACTTGTGCTTTAGGCCCGCACTCTGAAGAAGCAGGTATGTTAAACTGCAAAATGTTTCACCAGCATCCTGTAATTAGAAAAAAAGAGGATAGTAAATACACAAAGGTGATGTTGTCATTGAAATGAAATTTAGACGCTATCTTTAGAAAACATATTTTCATGGAAAAAAATTACTGCATATATAAAGACTAAGTAACTCTCTAAGTAAACCTGAGCTACGTGAATTTTCCCGCATGAAATGTTACTGTTGCCACCCTGCCTCACAGATTGTATGTGTCCATACCAGAATCCTCAACTGTGGTTTTAATTTTTAACTTCAACCTTTCCATTCCTCCCTGTTCCTTCCCTGGAAGCCTCTGTAAGACACTGGCTGACAGTTCTTCCACTTTTCCCCTGCTTTGTCTTTGCTTCTCTACTTCAAAGTCCCATTGTCTTGACATGAGAAAACTAAAGTATGGGGCGTGCTTTTGGAGTCCATGATATGCCTTCTGGGACAGGATGCAAACTTGTGAATTCATATATGATGATCTAAGCTTACTGTCTTCATAAACAAAGGAGTTAATCATTGATCCTCAAATTTATTTTGAGCTAGGATATGTAGTACAAACAAACATCCGGTCTTTAAGCTAAAACTTTTAAGTGATGGGAAAAATCAGTTCCACAGATTCATTGTTGCAGAGGTTAAATTCACCTTTTTCTTTTAGGAAATAAATGTCCCTTATTTCTAGGCTGAATTTGCCTAGCTTCAACTTCCAGCCTGGAAAGGTCTTGTCATGACCCTCCCACATAGATAGAGCACTCTGTCAAGAGTACCTTCTATTCACATAAGTGGCAAAATACTCTGCTCAAATTACTTCTCAGACTTCACTAAGCAGGCTAAGTCGATTAATGGCTTTAGAAGTAGAGGCTTAAGAGGCTAAATGCATACACTTAAGTATACCAGACAATCCAGTTCAACTCCTATAACTAAATTTCCCCATCATTATTTATCAGTATTATTTACATTTTTACTGTTGACAAAGGAAATTAATGGTAAGTTTGCCTAACAACTAAATTTCTGTAAACCACATTGAATGAAACTGATTGTGCTTCCAACCTTCAGTTCACAAACAAGTAGATGAATAAATGAATGATTTTAAAGCTCATACAAACCTTTCCAAGCCTGAGGGTTTTTAGGGTATGGATTTTGTTTTTGCATGGTTGGTGATTCTGAATAAGCCAGTGATTACCTGTGATTACTATATGCTGGTTGTAACTTGTGCTACACCTGCATGCACTGCTTATACTTAATCCAGACAGCAAATTTTTGGTAGGAACATAGATTCTCTTCTACAGAAAAAGTTAGTCTAAACATGTGCCAAGATTTGTGTTTGTATAATCTTTGTTAATAATGGATATAATACAAAGAGCATTATTTTTGAAGGATAAGGTAAGAAGCCTCTGATGTTTTTGTGACTAGAATATGGTTTTTTGTTTAAAAATAATAATTAAAAAAACAGTGATTTGTTCCTAGGCTGGCCACACAACAAGAAACTTCTATCTTTCAGAGATGTTTGCACAGTGAACAAGTCTAGAACTGAACTGTAATACAGAAAATGGCTGCATGAACTCAGTATTCACCCATGAGGTGACCTAGGGCATGGCAAGCTCAACAGTGAGAACATGATTCTGGGTTGGGTTTTTTTGTTTTGGCGGTCTTTTGTTTGTTTGATGGTGTTTTTTTAACACATGATGTAAATTATGATTTAGGACTATCTCTGTAAATGTTTTGTGGATGCTGGGTTTTCCTGGGATCAGAAAATAACTAGACATTTCGTGGAAGGAACTTCTCTGAAGTGTTGTTAAACACAAAGAGCCTTCTGGTTCAGGATACCTGTCAGCTGCTTTTCATGGGAGGCTGGAAGCAAGTGCTGAAAGAAAGGTCACTGCACTCATGCCTTGTTTCTGGCACTTCTGCCCAGCCACTATCAGAGCAGATGTTAAAGCAGAGGCCTGTCCCCAAATAGCAGTAGTTGTGCTACAATAGTTGACAGCTCTGTCATAAATATCAGAGTGGGAGAAGAATTACACACAAGAACTAGCTCTCAGAATTGAGCTTCTTTCTGTGAAGTACCAGTGTCCGTCTTCTGTGAATCATATTTATGGAAGAATATAAGCGAGCGCAATTTTGTCAACGTCCAGTTGTGTATAGTTGGGATTCTGGCCATCTAGAGGAGGGAAATTAAAGATTAATACCAGACGGTGCCATACCCAGTTGCCCTTTTTGACTAACTGAATCTACCACAGAGGCTGGTATTATGAGGCAGGAATATGTGATGTGTGTTTGCTGTCCTAGTCCCTCAAACCTATTCCACTGTAATGATATAAACCAACTCTAACTCTTACGTATCAATAAGAAACTGGAATCTGGCATTTAGGGAGCTGTTTGACAAGAAAGTCAGACACTCCTGTTTTTAGGGCAGTGGTCTCTGAAGGGCAAGATAGAAGCAAAGAAATGTCAGCAGCTGTGGCAACCTTCTCAGATCCCTGATACTCTACTTTGGGCACCACATTAGCTGCTCTGTCGCCTCTCAGTTTATTTCTGAGGCTGATTAAGGGATGGCACAGCTCATTGTACTCACTTAGTTTCAAGATACACTGGTCTTTTGACAAATATACTGTGTGATTATGAAAAGCCTTCTGGATGCTGATAGTGTTCTCCATGGAAGGAACACTCAAGTAATAGGAGTGGGTAAAAACCTTGTTTAACCTCATCTTCCTTAAGGTATGTAGTCCCATGAAGCAGCATGCTGATAATGTTTCTTCAACAGGAGGAGATGGCAGAGCTCAAGGCACAGCTTTACCTGCTAGAGAAGGAGAAGAAGGCATTGGAATTGAAACTGAGCACTCGAGAGGCCCAGGAGCAGGCCTACCTCGTCCATATTGAGCACTTGAAGTCTGAAGTGGAAGAGCAAAAAGAGCAGAGAATGAGGTCTCTCAGCTCAACCAGCAGTGGAAGCAAAGACAAACTGGGCAAGGTCAGGAGTCAAACAAGTTCCCAAAATTGGCATAAACACAATTTATTGTACCCCTCCCCTCCCTGTAGCAGTCTTTAGCATGTTAATCATTGTCCTCTTTTATCTATACGTGCGTCTTTTCTCTCTTCTCCAGTTGTTAGGTGGTTCTTTCCATGCTGTGACTTATGAGGACTTTGCAGAATTACTGTTAAGCCTGGGCTAAAATAAGGTCATTTTGGGGAGGAGTACAACAAAGCCATTCTTGCCAAACATACAAGCTACTGTGGTTGAACATGTTGTGTCTTGCCTGTTACCACTCACTGGAAACAGTGGAAGAGAGTCTAAGCAAAACACCATCCTCCGCCTACTCCAAACACAAAATATGAAATAATAAAGCTCATTTCTATGAAGCATTTAGAGCATTGTAATGACAGTCTTTTTTTCCAAGTCAGACAGTTTGTAATGATTTGAGAATGAAGACTTTTCCTCCCTTAGTATAATGCAAAATACACAGATTTCTGCATTTACATTAATAATTTGCATGAAGAAATAGTGATACCTAGAAAAACTTTAATCCTGTTATTTTAGTGTTGTGTCCCCAGAAAACCTCAGTAATATGTTTAAAAACAAAATCCAGAGCTAGTATATAACTGTGTCTTTCTTGTTTGTTTCTGGCAAAGCATCATCTGATCCAGTGCTGCTTTGTTTCAAGTGTGGTGTCAAAAGTAATGTAAGGCACCAGCAGTTATGCACATTATAGCAGAATTCTGCAAATCCGTGAGCTGTGTGGTGGTTTAGGAAACATCTAGAAGGATTTGTGAAGTGTTAATCTGTTAGTCCATTTTTTGGTATGTTGATACACTGCCACGTTGTGACATTGTGATGTTTATTTCACCTCCATTTTAAAAGTAGCTGCGAACGAAGAGGTTTTCAGAGTTTTCCCATTAAGGTGGTAAGTAACTTCAAATTAGATGGCCTTTCCTCATTTCTCAGGAATGCAGTGATGGCACCGCAACACCGTTAACACTGGCTGAGCTGAGACCGTACAACGAGAGCGAACTGACTGCTGAACTGACAAACGCACTCAGGCGGTAAGCAGCTTCCTTCACCAGAGATACGACTTGTTCTGTAGGTCCAGGGCGAGGTTTAGTTCAGAGCCTTCACTCTTACGCTCAAGCGATTTTAAGAGTGATCACAGATTTTTCCTGTGAGAAGGAAAAGGATCGAAGTTCTTCTAACCTTCCCCTCTCTTTTGCTGTTGTTCTTCAGCGACGAAAGTCCTCACATGGTGCTCAGCTCCATTCTCCTTGAGGTTCTCTAAAATTCAGATTAAGTGTATCCCTAAGAAGCCCTCAAAATGTCACGAATGTCCATATTCAGGCAAGAACATGAGACACAAAACAGTGACGTGACTTGCTTGAAGGCATGCAGAAAACCTGTAGTGAAGACAGGATTTGAAGTGTGATCTTTGGTTAAGAAGGTTGGTCGCAGATTAGAACTTGGGTAGGAGTTACAGGAGCGGGAACGGCAGTGATTTTGATGACTCAGATGCCGCATTTGCCTCCCAAGTATGTAAGTAGACCACAGTTCAATTACGAATGACACTGTTGTGTGAAGCATTAGCTTTCGAACAAGAGAGAAAATTGATGTCTTGACAAACTGCTTTTATCAACAGCCAGGTTTTAAGCCAAAACTTTCAGTACGGTTATACATTAACTAGATATTTGTTTGTGCAGCAGTTTTCGCTGGACCAGCAATGTGGTAAACTTCATGCCAAAGATATTCAGTTCCAATTGTTGTTTCAGTATTTGTTCCACCTTTTCTAAGACATGGCTTAGATATTAGATCTAATATCTAATCTGGTCATTGTATTTAGAACCTGTCCAAAATGCTACTAAGAATTATGGCTGGGAAGAGTCTATTTCGCTTTTCTGGTGTTTGCACCCTCTTAACGGTGGAATGTCCTCTCAGGCAGCTATGGTGTTTTATTCCTGAAGTGCTTTTTTCATAGGTGCAACTTGTCGTGTGCCTAGGGACACTTAAGCCTGAAAGGCATTATGTAAAAATGTAAGATCGTTACCACTGCAGAATCAATACATCTCATACCGTTTGCTTAATAGTCTGGCAGTTGCTGAGTATTTAGTTTGCTTGATGCAGGAAACAAAATTCTGTGGTTAAAATAATCAAAACTGTCATTTGTGTGTGGGTGGATAAAACCCATCAACAAAGTCGTTTGCATAAACATTGCGTAGAGACCTTGGCCTCCCCCATACCCCCCTCACTCCAGTTCCGCTGTGAGCAGCTCCACTGGCATTTTCTGTCTTCACTCAAGCTGCAGCTTTTTACTCTTCTTGTTACTTGCTCCTGGGTTTCCAGAAGATGCCAGTGACCTTAGTTAGCGGAGGTTTGAGTATAGTCATGAAATGCGGTTTGCTGACAACACAGAGAAAAAAACTTTGCTTTATCTGCTAGGCCTTAAGTTGATTAGCATGGATTTCCAGCCAGGGGCCTAGCAAGTACAGTTTGTCAGGCAGAAATGGGGAAGAAAAATAATTGGATTAAACTGTAAATAAATTTTGGAGTGAAGACTCTCTGTGTAATGGAAATACGACTGTAATAAATGTGATTGCTACTGCCAGTGGGGCTCAAGCACAGTTCCCGTGAGCTGTGGGGAGAGGGTTATTTTTCTCCCTAATCAGTGTGCCAGCCAAATCAGGCTGAATGCTTAGTCTCCTTGTCCTGAAGTCTTCTCTCTGAAAGTTGGTAGAAGGTCTGTGTAGCACATGGAGAAAGCTTACTGCAACCTGTTTAGCCACAGCTATGCTAAAAAATACCAGTAGTTCGTAACTGCTGTCCTGGATAAACGGAGCCTCAGATATCACAATGGAATATACCATCATGGAACCACAAAAGAGTTTTAAAAATAATCAAAGTGCATTTTCCTCTCTGCAAGTGCTACAACAATGCAGAATGGTCTGAAGTGACTGTGATATCTTTAGGGACAAAGTGGATTTAACTGTTTGCACTTAGCATGTGCCAATCCCTCAATGCTCTTCCCTCTTGTATGGGAAAACAAGTGCTGGCACTGTGTGTGAACCCGAAGAGATCCTGGTTGCTCCCCCTAGCACCCTCCTCACCCACCAAAGAAGTAGGACCAGAATTCAAAATAAAATACATCTTGCCCAGTAGCTGTGTTTGCTGGGGGGCAGGAGGGAGATATGAAACAAGTGAATATTGCACACTGAATCTGTGGTCTAGAGGCAATATTTAAATGCCAATGTTCAGGAGTATTTCAGTGCTGGTTGCAATTAATGAAAAAAAAAAATCCATTTGCTTTTGAGTCTTTCTGTTTGTCAGAGAATGTGATATCAATCAGCAGCCCTGCTTGCTGCCCCCGCCCCATCCTGTCTTCACAGAGACAAAAGCCCTGGCAGCTCCCCCCTCTGCTGCTTTCCCATTCTGTTCTTCTGTTGCTGCAGAACTGTCAGGTTCTTCTCAGTTAATTGAAATAGAGTGAAACCCAAATAAAACAGCAGGATGTAGTTACGGTTTGGATTTCGGTGTGGTTGGGAAGCATTTATTTGTTCAGAGTCTGCAGATGGCTTTGCAGCAGAACAATCTCATCCACAGAGGTAGCCTATCTTCTCTCTGCAGATGTTGATTTTCTCGTAAATCTGGAATCCAGCAGTCTGTTGTGAAGCTCCCCGAGTTGTCATTGGTAGTGCCCATCAGCAGAAATTCAAGGCAGGAGCCACTTCATTTATTGTTTTATAATGTATTTGTTCTAGTAGGACTCAGGGTTTCCCATAGCAGTGTTCAGCATTAAAACCCATCTTAAGGGCTTTCCACAGAAATTGCTTTTCCTTTCCATGACCACTATGCTAGCTAGTAGAAATGTAAATTATCTGCAAGTTTCATGTTGTAAAAGTTACATCTAGGTTACCAAATTTCTGGTATCGCAGGCTAAGGCCACTAATTTAGGGACATGCCCTGTTCCAGCCAAGCATAAATACATTCTGCCAGAGTCTTTAGCAATTTTGCTTTCCCCTCTCTACTTTCTTGATGGAATTATGGAATGTTTCAATAGCCATGAAGCCTCTTGAGTTTGACATATCCATAAATGAGCTTGTTGGCAGGAAATACTTCGTTCTTGGGAGGGTAAAATCATGGCAGTGACTATATCCTGACACAATGTCAGCCAGAGGTAAATCAAGCCACCTTCCTTTATTTTAAATTTCCACAAACTTCATGTGGCGACATGTTTTTGGCATGTTTTCAAGGGCCACCCTTATTTTCATGGTAGCCAGATTCAGGAGTAGGTAGAAGCATCTCTGAAATTCAGACCTGTCTTGACCATCAGTAAGCCGAAGTTTTGGAAATGAAAAGAGAAACACCTAAAACGCATCATATTGTAATGATTCAGATTTAAAATGGCTCTTAAGAATTGAATCAGTAAAATCCTCTTTCTGTTCAGCCAAAGTACAGGATGAACATGCAGTGGATAAAAGTGGGGGGAAGAAGGCGGGGGTTGGTATTCAGGACCTACAGATGAGTTTTTCTAGTGCATCATTGGCTGCTTTTTGTCAGTTACATTTGCTTATTTTTCTTCTCTTATTATCACGTCCATTAAATGGGGAGACACGCAACTCAAACATTTGAAAGCCAGAGACTGGCATGGATTGCAGTCATTGCAGATTTGGGGGATCTCTGTGGTTTTTATGACTGTGCAGTCTCCTGCTGTGGTTTCCCTTGGCTGCCTGAGGGGTTCAGGCAGCATGGCTGTCTCTGGAAGTCCCCCCCGGAGAGCCCCTTCTCACAAGAAGAGAACTGACTCATGGTGATATAAGGGACAGATTCCTCAGAAGTGCCTCGGGTGGCTATTTTTTCTACATGCATCACAGATAACCGTCATTTTTCTTTTTCTCTATTTTTGACATGGAATAAGTAGTTCTCCTTACCACTGCGTGGTTATCTGAGCTGCTGAGCTGCTGTTCACTTGGATATAATCGTCACAGGGAGCTCCAAATAGCTCCAGGTCTGGAGAGCTTCCAGGCTGGGCTGGCAAAGCTGGGTGGGAGGTTTGAGCAGTGAGTGCAGCAGGCACGCTGCTGCCTCCCTCCAGGCCTGTTCTCCTTTTTTGCTGCCAAACTGTTGTTTCCAGGACCACACCTGGCCTGCCTCCCCACTGCCGGTGGTGTAACACATGCCTCTAGTACCATCTGGTTTTTGAGATCTGCTCTAAGCATCTGACAATCAGCAAAAAAGCGGTACAGTATCTTACACCAGCAAAGCATTTTTTAAAGCACTCTCCATCTTGTCTGTGATCAGAAAAGGCTACCTTTGCACAGGTAGCAGGCAGCACGGGTGTTCTCAAGCCCTGAGATGCCTAAGGAGGTGAGACAGGAAGATGTGGCATTTTGTTGTTTTGTTGCCTCTTGAAAAAGTTATATTATATATTAGTTGCTTTCCTTAGCAGGCCAACCCAGACCAGTGAGGCAGGCATGCATTCGAATTGGCTTGGGGATTCTGCATGCCAGTCTGACATAAGATGTTAGTTTAAACTGCTGATGAAAAGATAGTTTATCTGCATTCCTTTTAAATGTCCAGCTGTTATCTCCCGAGAGGAGAGGAGTCAAATGCCTAGAAAAAAAAATCCGTGTGCCACCTTGTTCAGCTGGAACTGGAAAAGGCAGAGGGGAGTGAGGGAACATGCCAGGCTTAAAACAACAGGAGGATATTAGGAAAGGGACTAGGAGCAAAGTGTGGGATGGAAGGTGTGTGCCTCCCCTTCAAAGCGGTGACCATGCAGAAAGCTAGGGGCCATGCAGGAGGTACTTCTCCTCCCTCCCCCCCCCTAACCCCATGTGCCTGGGCACTGGCCAGCTTGCATGGGTACCTATGCCTGGGAAACCTTGGGCCTCTGTCCCCCAGGGCTGGCTGCCCGGCTACTGTGTCAGGGCTTTGTGTATGTGAAGCTTGGGGGCAGATGCTGAGCTGAACCTAGTGGTGCCACTCCGACAGGGGAGCCAGAATTTGAAGGGGTGTTCTTGTAGCAGGCAATGCTCCCTGGTGGGTAAAACGATGTTCCTAGGGATGCCAAGATGTAGGATAATCAGGCCCGAAAGGCCCCTGACTCCTCTGCGCCTCTCCTCTTTGGAGAGAGCTCCTCTTTTGCTCCTCTTTTGCTCTAGATTTGGCAAGAGCTGTGTGTGCTCTTGACCCCAGGGCAGAGGGGCGATAGCTTGTGCTTTCACAAGAGGAGGAGTTAGCTCGATACGCTCCAAGCCAGGGGCAGAAAAATCAACTTTCTGCATGCCAGGGAAGAGCAGCTTCCTGTTCGCAGCACTGGGGAATTCTTGATGAAATGAGCAAGGGCAGGAAAATCTGCCTGGGAAGACTTCTGGCATATGAAACCTTGAACATGTCTGGAAAAGCCCAGACAGGAGGGAAAATATAAGGTGCACAAGACCTTGCTTAACATTATTCTGGGCCAAACATGGTGTCATTGTGTGGAGGCCAAATTGACAGAAACTGTAGAAATGTGCCCGATGTTATATAGTTTCCTTTACAGCTCTGGCAGAATTCCCTGCTCTCTGCAGCAGTAGCCTTGAAACCAGAGAAAACATTAGGCCCTGTTCGCTTGCCTTCCTATTCAAACCATCCTGTAAGTCTGAAACAAAAAGCCCTTGAAAACAGCTTAGCAACTGCCCACTGAGTGTTTTGATGGTGAAAATACAAAAGAAAAGTCTTTGTTACCAGCATATTGGGCATTTCACTGAAAATGGTGTTTTTACCAGATGTTGGAGTAGGCTGTAGGCCTCTGAATACACTTATTCTGAGCTTTTCCTTGGAAAGGGAGCAGTCAGGGATTTCCCCAGCTGACTTCTCGAGTGCCCCACAGGAGAGAGCTTTTGTGTTGGAAGTGAGCCTTGCCCTCAGATCATAAGTTTGTTCCCTCTTCTGGGAATACGTGCTCATTTTCTCTGTGTGCATGAGGTGCTGCGGCTGTGTTTTCCACAGCTCCAGTGGAAGTAGCCAGTTGGAAGAGGAACTGTTGGGAGCAAAAGCTGTGCTGACTTCTGTGGTCCAGTTGACTTGTGGGGTCACAGAAATTGTGTTCTCTTAAAAATACTTGCTTCTCCTTCCCTCTTCCCATCAAAATACACACATAATGCTTTCCCAGGATCCATACTGGTCTGTATTACAGCCATGGGGCACAATACTAGTATGAGTTTGGCATGTAAGCTTCTGCGCGAGTTTCTTCTTCAGACTCTGGAAGACTGGCAGCAGAAGGCCGTGCCACAGCCATACAGCAATCCCTGTCGGGAGGATGTTCGTATGGTTGTAGCATGAAATGTAGTTCCATCCCTGGTTCACGGCTTTGACACGTTCTTATCCTGGAAAAATGCTGCATATGACTAGGGCTATTGTTTTAAAATATTCTGTCTTAGTAAGCCTGTAGTGGCTGATTCTTCATATTTGCTGATTTATAATAGCAATCAGGGAAGTGAAGTGGTGCTAGAAATCCTGTAAAACAGCTAACCCTGTAATGCATTAAAGGAATACAAATAGCACGTCACAATACATTATCACTCCCGTTCACCGCCCAACTAAGCAATCAGTTTTGGAGAGACATAAATAAGGACAATTCTTTCTGTCCAAACTGACGTAATTAGTGATAGGAATGGAGAGAAGTGGGAAGAGTTAGCATTATGAGGCATGGGGTTTTTACAAAGGGGTAGAGCATGGCTTTGGTGGCCAGCCAGTAAGGTACAGCTCTGAGGTGTCTCATCTGCTACTAAAATAGAAGGTGCAGCGCTCCGGGGAAAACCTTACATGTTTTTTGCATGTAATACTCGTTAACCAAGTGTTTATGCATCTCCATTTCCCAGACTAAAACAAGGTATTTACTGTGCCTTTACTGTTGCTGCTATGTCTGTCTATTCAGGTGTTACTTGTTCTGTGAAATGCCTCTTGAAGTAAAGATGTTTTGATAGGCATGTTTTAAATTGGGAACAGTGAGTGTTACAGTAGGTCCCTATGTGTTGTTTTTGTAGGATTTTGGGACATTTCAGCACATGCAATCAAACTGCCCATTGCTTTCCCTGAGATTAAGGTGGGAGTAGGCACTAGCTAATGCTGTTTTTATTGACTCCAAGACATCAAGAAAAGCCAAAAAAACTGTGTGGATCTTGCCAGCTCAGGGAATACATGTGTTTTACTGGTATAAGTGTAAATTTGAGGCATCTGTAGATTTGAAGGATTATCCACTGTTACCTATTTAGCTAGTTGGTTCAGAACTAGCATCTGAAAGTTGTTTAACTAGCCTGTGGAGCCGCAGGGTGCTCACCACTCCGCTGGCTCTGTATCTTTGGCAAGCAGCAAGACAAGGATGTTGTAGGCCCAATGTGAAGAAATACCTCTGGATGTTTAGCTGAGTTCGGGCTGAACATGACAGGTTGAAAGATGTGAGTGCAAAACCAGACTGAAGGTGAGGTAATAGTTTTATCAGGTAACAGTCCAGTCACCGTAGCAACCAAACTTTACCATGCATGACAAGTTCCTCCAAATCTTTCCACTGTGTTTCTTTTCCACGCAGCTTTTGTTACAGCAGGTGTGTTAAGGACTTCAGCTGCAGTAAACGGTGGCTCTACCGTTTCTTTCCCATGGGACTGTGTGCAGTGTTTTCACAGCTATACCTTTTCTTGCACGTAATGTTAAGTCAGCCTCACGTGATTTTTAGTTTTCTCTCCCCATGCAAATACTGAGAATGTTTATTCCATTGGACTTGCTGTTCACGCTAGGTCACAGTGCTAGGCACGGTGCTACTGAGCCTTCCCCAGAGCCTCTGGCTGTGGCATCCTTTGGAGCAGGCAAGCACCAAATTTACCCTACTGTGTTCTGTCATATCAGTAGCACCACAGACACATTAGATAATGGGTCTGGCCTCTGCCAGGTCTGATCTTTTCTTATTTATCTTCTATTGCAAGTAAAAACTGGATTTTTTTTTTGTTCCTGTTTTCTTTGCAGAACACAGATTTTGATCATAGACTGTGCTGAGACTTTCTGACTGCTAAGATAGGATATAAAAAATAAAATTTATATTTAGGGTGTGTGGTAGTGAGCTTTTAACAGCCGGGGGAAAAAATTGCGTAATTTGAAAACTGAGTATGTTACTTCAATGAAAGGACACATAAAGAATACTGATGATTCTTCATCAACAAGGCCCCTCTTATGTCCTTTTTAATTTGGCCAGTAGACCAGTGTCTGCAGTGTGTTGGGATAAACTGCTAACTTGGAATACTTCCCCGGCTGACTTTGTGAAAGCCCTTCTGTTGCTGAAGCTGGGCACAGTGAAACATGCCACATGTGCTGTCCTTGTCTCCGGCTATAAAATGCTGCCATTGCCAGGCCGGCCTCGGAACTGCAGGCTGGTGAGCTGTACGTGTGGTCTGTGCAGAGCCGGGTAAGCTTTCACAAACTTCAGGGTATTCATTCCTATGGGACTCAGTGGGCTTACGTGGGAGCTAGTGGTAGTCTTGCTATTGGGACGGAAATCCAATTTACTCACTTAGCAGCACTGCACCAAAAACAGGAGGGAAAGGCAAATGACTGCAAAGCAGTTCTAGGCAGCAAAGCACAAACGTCTCCATGTCACAAAGGCTCCTGGGTCTCCACATCAGCACCCTTGGACAAGAGGTGGGACAGTCCCATGCCTATATAGGAGCCGGCTGTGGGCAGCCATCAGCTCTGCAGCAGGGAGCTCCCTGGGAAGAAGCACCTGCCTCATGCCACATGCTCACCTGTGTGGGGAAATGCTTTTTAAAGCCAGCTTAAATCCCAAGCTGTAATGCTTACTCCTCCCCAGAACTTCTGCCTTGTTCGCTTTTTCTTTCCCTCATAGAGATATTTGTAACATAAAAATATTATAAGGTACCTTACTTCCATTTTGTCACGCTTCCTGTAATTAGTTTTTCGTTCATAACTGGTAAGTAAGTATTGGTAACTATATCGGCATTTTAAACCTCACTACTGTGGCTTATTTGAAAGAAAAAAAAAAAAGAGTACCTCATAGAAGAAAATGCCTGTGTGCTCTCTTCTTCTGTATTTCTTGTGCTTGCCCTTTTCTGTCTGTACTCCCCTCTCTTGTTCTTAACTTTTTCTGTTTCCCACTGCCACATGGACTGGACTTGCTGGCTCCTAAAAAACCCTAGTGATCTACTGTAATACAGACTGTAGTATAAATTACTCAGGTAAATTTGAGGCAGTAACTGAAACTGATGGATTATCTCTGAGGGTAGTGAGACCCTGGAACAGGTTGCCCAGAGAAGCTGTGGATGCCCCATCCATGGACATGTTCAAGGTCAGGTTGGACGGGGCTTTCAGCAACCTGATCTAGTTGAAGATGTCCCTGCCCATGGCAGGGAGGTTGGAACTGATGATCTTTAAGGTCCCTTCCAACCCAAACCATGCTATGATTCTATGATTCTATAGTAATTTTCTAATTAAAAAGAAAGTTGTTTAGTAAATTATCTTTAATAGCAATCCTGGTATGCTATTTTTAATTAAAATTCTTTTCCTATATGATTACCATGATGTTTGATTTCCCTTGGCAGTTTTCTTTGCTATCTCATTCAAGACACAGTAGGTCGCATGTGCCAGGTATTCTTAAATTTTTATTTATGTATCTTTGTGATTATTTCTTAGTGTGATTCAATACATACAAGACCATGATCCACCAGAGAAGTTTGGTTTCTCTTTTGTCTGCTGCATCTCTGGTCCTAGATTCTAAAATGGTGAATGTTATAAAAATCGATCTGTGGAAAAGTTTAATGTAAGAACTACTCGTGTGTTATCCAAATAGTAGTAAGGAAAATATTTTCAGCCTGTCAGCCCAGCACAGGACATCCATTTGTGCACTTGCAAGCTGAAGCATTACTTCTGTTTTGAAAATAGTTTTCTCCCTCCTTTTCTCCTGATCCAGGGAGAAGAAACTGAAAGCTAGAGTGCAAGAGTTAGTGAGTGCTTTGGAGAGACTCACAAAGAGCAGTGAAATCAGACATCAGCAGTCTGCAGAATTTGTTAATGACCTTAAAAGGGCAAACAGGTAAAGGATCTACCAGCAGATGGATGCACCATTGATTTTTTTTTTTTTTTTGCCGTGCCTTGACTTAAACTCTTTAGGCTGCTGTGAGGATCTGTGTGTGCAGACAATGCCAACATCAGTTCTGCACTGTGCAAAAAGAATTCACACGAGTTGACTCTTTATAGTTAGAGATGGGGGAGGTATAAACCTCCCATGTAGGACACTGAAAAATACATAGCTAAGAAGAGAGTGGGGGACATACGTTCATCTTAACTGAGTTACTAGTATATGCATTATTATTAAAACAAACAAAAACCTCCATATAGTCAGATTTATGAATCTGTTATTTTGTTTAAAATTGCTCCCTTTTCTTTGGCTCCAGCCTCTTTATTAATAAACTGGCTTCGATAATCACACTTAAATTTTATTGCTCACTCAGTAGATTTTACTGGCACTGTGTTTGGATGGACTGAGAATATGATGGACTGTAGCTGCCCTTCCTGCAGGGAGCCTATCGCTCACAATGTAGTTTTCATTAATAAATTATACTTGTAAGCCTTTGTGGTGAGGAGCAGTGCCCATCTCAAGCTGTCCTACTGAGTCAAGGTGGAGGCACAGAAGATACTTGGCAGCTGACAAATTAGCACAAGATGCCATCCTCTGAATATAACTGTTACTTTCTAAAATGGAAAATGCAAAATTAGTGCTAGATTTTATAAGCAGATTCTGGCCATGTAATGTTTTTGTAAGTCATTACATGTTTAATGTTGTGGTATCCTGACTCACAAACAGTGCTCTGCGAGGTCATTGGCAACGTCTAGCTGGCTCTTTGAACCATGTTTAAAAATGTTTAAGTAACCAGTTTACTGGTAAAGGTGTGTACTTGCCCCAAAAAGGATACAGAGATTAGCACTGATCTTGGTTTGGATCACTAAGGTTTGGATCTAATGCGTTTTAAAGCACTAGTAAATTTTAGGAAGATGATCAGTACCCGAACTTTGGAGTTCCCTAAAGGTGGGGTTTTGGGGTGGGTTTTTGTAGCTATGAATGAACAAGCCTTTTTGAACGATCTTGCATTGCCTTGTATTTCTAACAGCAACTTGGTAGCAGCTTATGAAAAAGCAAAGAAAAAGCATCAAAATAAGCTGAAGAAACTGGAATCGCAAATGATGGCCATGGTGGAGAGACATGAAACACAAGTAAGGATGCTCAAACAAAGAATAGCTTTACTAGAAGAAGAGAACTCTAGACCACACACCAATGAAACTTCACTTTAAGTGCATCTCTTTCAAAGATGCTTAGTGCCATTACAAATTACTTTCTTTTGGAGGCTGACTTTTAGGTAGCTTCAAACACTAAAAGCTCTGACTGTCAATGCTGACACACTTTTACTTAAGCACCATCTCTGGGATCCCAGAGAGGTGTCATGGGGATAATGTAAGTGTTAACCTTAAGGACTGTTTCATAATGTAAAATGGCAGTGCCTGAATTATCACGCTATAATTATGTACATTGTCTGTGTCATTATGTCTATATTAATACAGCTTCTCTTCCATTTTATGTATGTCCTATGGGTGACAGCGTCACATAGCAAAATAATTCATGTTAAGAGGTTTTAATTTGGGCAGTTTGGAGATAATTTGAGAGTTTTCCCAATGCCTGAGCTCCCTCTGTGTGCAACTCTGTATTGTACCCTCAAGACTTGCTGCTGTGGTTAAATCAACTAAATGGGCAGCTGCAGAGTGGGGAGATGATAGGCTGGCTTGCTTTTGTGCACCGTACTTGCAGTACTGTTGCTCACAGTGGAGATCAGGTAGGAAAACTCCTCTTGATTTGGGGGAAAAAAAAAAAAAAAAGAAAACCTAGTTTCATCTCTGAAAACTATGATAAGTACTTTTACAGTTTGTAAGAGGACTAAAGGCTGTGAGTTTCACCATGCCAGATAGATAGTCTGTGCCAAGGTTGGGTAAGAAATTATAGGAGACCTCCTGGTATTTATATCGCATGGTGTTTGCAATTACTTTGTGAAACAGTTGTTTTTTCTTGTTAATACATTATAGCCAAGGTTTTCTTTAAGAAGCTGGGCCATTTTTGGCACATGTATAGTGCTTATTACAGCTTTCTGTGATCAAGAGGTAGAATGTCTTCTTTTTATACTTGTTTTGACCAAAAAAGGTACTTATTAGGAATGTACCTGTTTAACATTGACTACATAGGCACAAAACTGTAAATGTGTAGGTGTGTGGATATACATCCACAAACAGAATGTGAATGGTGAAGTCTTCATACAGCTTCTTAGGTTAGTTTTTGTTACTGCTAACATTCTTTTCTTTTGTTTAAGTCACATTATGTTACTGTATTATCAAACTGACTGAACTGAAAATGTTGGTCTATTATGGTAATGAACATTAAGCAAAGCATGGGGATCAGGTTGATTTCTCTCGGGAGCAAAATACAGGAGTCTGCTGTAGCACCTGTTTCATTCAGAAATTGCTTCTTTTTGACTGAGTACGTAAAACAGCTTCCATGTTTGTTTTAACATGCCAAACTAGAGTCCATTAACTTCCCTTAGCCTGTTATGGTGTTACACTTCTACTTTGTTATTTTTCAGGGTCTGTTTTTGAGTGAATTCGATTTCAGGAGTTGTCTCTCCTTTTTGCTTTACATGTTGAGTTGCACCTCAAGTTTTATTAGTGTATTTAGAATTACGATAACTTCTCTCATTTATTCCTCCAATTTCTAGTACTAAGGAAATATTTTTAGAGGACTTGAACTATTTTTGTCTACTCTTGGGTAGCCAAAATAGTTGTGGGAATTTGTGTTCTGGCATTATTGTTAAGTCTTGGTTACAACTGAAACTGTAGCAGCTGATGTTCATGACATCTTCTACTACTGTAGCTGCTGTTTTCTTCTTTTCTTAGGGTATTGATTCCTACTTTTCTGGAGTCTGATACATCAGCTACAAAGCCAACATAATACATGATTGATTGCAATAGCAAGTTAAAACAATGCTGATTTCAAAATTAAGTTGGAGGTAGTGATGCCCTGGGCTTAGTTTTGATCAGTCCTCTTTCTGAAGATAATTGCACTTCTTAATTTATAATGCAAATGGGAATTTTTACAAACCAGTCTGTTGAGGGAGCAGGCACATTGATTTCTTACTGTCTTTATGGTTTTGCTAAGTATCTATCTATGATGTTTCCCTTTTTTGGCCAACAAGGTCCAGCAAGGAATGTGGGGTTTTGCCATAAGCTTCAGTGGTAGCTGATCACACTTGTTTCTGAAGAAACACAAAGAAAATTATCCACTGTGTACTGTGGCAAAAATGCAGTTACAGTTTTGCCTTCCTGCATCTGAGACACTTATGTAACTTGGGGTCATCTCACACTTCCATGTTGAAATACCTTTCACTCAAGGTGACTAGAAACCACTGCTGCACTGGATTTCCTCTTACGCTCAATTTTTTCTATTTCTTGGTAGCTAGAGAAGCTGTTAAACACAATATAATGAAGGTTAAAGCATTTGAATTGAAACCTGTCTTTAAAGGAAAGATACAAATTAAGAAAGCATAAAAGGCACCTGGGTTTAAAGGCATAAAAAGCTGCAGTGTCCCTCCATGCCTTTTTCAGGCCTAACAATTTACTGATTCTGCATAAACTGGACGTTGTTCTACTACATTTGCTGCATATCTTCCCTGCTAACTGTGCTCTAAAAGCATTTTAGAATAAATTATAAATCATCAGTAAACATAAGCCACTCCCCCTTTCTTCCCATAAGGCTTATAGGTGAAAAAGCAAGACTGGTATCGTACAGCCTCACCAGTAGCTATAGTTTGCCAGACCACCTGTTGCTACTGCTTCATTTGTTGGCATACTGGGAAAGACCACTCGGGAAGTGGTGAAAGGTTTACTGTTATTGTGAAAACTGTTTAATATTAACAATTAGCTGCAGTTCCAGTGTACCTGTTAAAATGACACCAACCCTGAGAATAAATGCCAAAAAACTAACTCCTTTTATGCAACCGTTTGAAATGCCAGCACACCAGCCTATAGACAACTGTGCAAATCACCTTGAGTCACAGCACCCTAACTCACTTTACGGTTGTTGCAGAAATAACACATTTGCAAGGCAAGAAAAATAGGTGGTTCTTGCCAACAGTACCTAAGTTGTTCACTCATTAATTAATCTTAGGGTGTTGGTTTTTTTGTTTTCTAAGTCACCAGAGTGCATGAAACTTTGTATTTCACAGTGTGTTCAGAAAAAAAGTACTTTTTTCCTAATTAAATGTATAAATCTTCACCAGCTTGAATGTACTGTTGGCTATTGCAAAGCACACGTGACCAAGTTCGCATTAATGTCAGTATTGTTCTACTGGTTTCATTAGGATTTTCTCCTCCTTTAATACTGTACCATACATTGTTAGAAACTTTCACCTTACTGAATTAGCTTTAACCATGTTGCTGCTTTTTAGTTTCCTAGCTGCTGTAAAATAGCTATTTTGTGTTTATTTGATATAGAATTGTAAAAACTGCATTTATTTATACAGAGACATTTATAATACTTATTTTACAAATGTTCTTATATTCTGAATAAATTTCTAATGCTGTTTCTTTGCCTCAGGGGTTGCTTTATCGTACCTTGTCATCTTATTGTTGAATGGGTCTGCTTAAAGGTCCCACAAAGACTTTCTCCAAGATAAGTTATTGAGGAAGATGCTATGACACTGTCAGGAAAGTTCCCATAATAGGGACATGAAAAGTTGGTAAGAACTCACTGGAGATCTGATCACAGGTTTTAGCTGAGCTCAAGAACATTAGTACTTGCCCCAAACCCCCTGCAGCTTCAGTGAACACTTTATAGAAACGGAAAGGCACATATGAAACCGTTTCCACACATCCAGTTCTTTTAATAAGAAGTTATATGGACCTCCCCCCCCCCAAAAAAAAAATCACTATTTCATAAATACTTGAAAAGCAGTGGTTGAAGTTCACATACTTCCTTTCTCCAGTACATCTAACACCTTTTAAAAAAAGTTTCCATTGTGTTCGATGGGCCCCTTGTCCACCTTTACAACTGACTTTAAAAAATACTACTACTTTTCCTGGCACTATATATAATCAGTGCTGCTGGCTGGCTTAAGGCAACATTTAAACATTCTACAGTGAAAGAATAACCTGTGCCAGCAGCACAGGCTTTACATTTCACACTGATCAGCAATGCTTATATTCATACTTCAGTACTTCAGTAAGTTTATACATAAAGTCATTTAATTTTACAGAGAAAAATTACAGTATAGAAGAAAATGTCAATTCAGTCATAGCCTCTTAAATGGTGTGCTTCAGTTTCTGAATCAGTGAATAACAAAATCACAATCATCAGTACAACAGATATTACAGGTAGTTACAGATTTTATTTACTAAAATTGAAGAGTCGACTAACGCAAACTTTCTTCAAGATAACGTAATGGAAGTTGAATAAAATCTGTAACTTTACACGGTTTTAACCCCGTTAGCTGTACATACTTTCTACTTAATTAGCACTGATATGACACATACCAGTGAGGAAAACAGATAAAGTTCTTGAGCTTTAAACAAACAGGAGGAAGACATAATCCTTCATGCACGAGCCTATTTTCTGCAAGGCATGCAATGCTGCACAGAAAAGTGTTATCTTTGGGCAGCAATACCTGAGTCAGCCTGGGTCCTGGAACACGTACAGCAATCTAGCATTATGCCAAAATTAATGAACAAAACCCCACCTCCTTCTGTGGAGTCTGTTCTGCTTTTTAATGTTAAAGTGCTTTGCAAACCCAGCTAAACTGCTCCTCAGGGCTGAAGTACAGCTTCCACATACTGCAGTGCCATGCAGACATAGTAAAGTTACTTAAGGATCCTGTTTTAAGTATAGGCTTGAGAAGTATTTGCTGAGAGCTCTTAATCATGCAGTTTTGCATACTTTTCCTGCATAACAAAAATATGTATCCAACCAGTAAGATATAAATGGTTCATCTCCCTAGTTTAGTAACTTCGCTCAAACATGCATAAAAAAAAATCTGCAAAGTAAGTTTTTCTCACAGTGGGAAGTGTGTTGTAGAAAACTGAGTTTGCAGGACCTATATTCTTAAAAAGCTACAAATGCCTTGCTTTAAAATGATTAATGCTCCATGAGCTGTAATCATTTTCTTAAAGGCACTAAACTGTAACCCATAACAGAAAGTAGAAGCTGGTTCTTCTGATCAACAATATAAGTGACAAAATACTCAACACTGTTTTCAGTAAATTCTGTAGTGGACCTATTCAAATTTAAACATTCTGTACCCTGTGAAATTTTTATAATTACTTAAAAGCAAGCTTTCTTTTTTTCCTACAAGTATTGAAGGAGGAATTGAAGACACTTTTACTTCCTTCCCCAAGCTGAGAACAATTTAAAGATAAGGGTTTCTGTACAGCTGAATCTATACAGTAAGTTAAGTCTCACTTAACCTAACATTTTCAGTGAAAAGACAAGTTAAAACCCAAGCATTTAATTTTAACGTACTACTACTAATCCAGCATAGTTCCTCTTGTATGATCTTGAATATGGCCAATGTAATTGCTACATGTTGTCTTTCTTGTAAGTTCACAATCTATTTGAAACAGTGAAATGCACACACAGCACAAATCCTACTGCATCTATCAGTGCTTATGTACAGGATTAAGAACAGTGCAAACACTAGCATTCAGCTTACTTTCATTCTTGAACTACACTATTGCTATAAATGCATAAGAACAAAAACCTATTATGCAAGAGTAGTGATATTTCCAAGCCTAATTTACTGTAAAAGCACCTTCAGTTAGT